AAGATTCAATCTAAGGAGAAGTTGATATATCTTTAAAAGATATTGATTGAAAAATTTTAAAAAATACTTTTCAAACAAAACAAAGTTAGGATGGTCTTCATTTTTTGTAGATTGAACCATTGTGATTAGTGCATGTTATGAAGAGTTTTTTGATTTAGAGTGGATTAATCTTTGTAACAAATACATTCCTATTGTTGTTTATATAATTATTAAATACTTAAAGAATATTTAGATACCACATAAGAAGAGAGTTATTAAAGCTTGGATAAATAATCTACTTCACCTCAGAAGTGTTACTAAATCACAAGAAGAGAGTTAATATTTAGCATTAAAATCCTACTTATAAGTCTCTACCAAAGATCTAAGAAATATTCAAATTTCTCTCTTTTACTTTTTAAGAATATAATAAGAAAATAAAAAGCTCAAAAAAGTTCAAAAAAAACCCATATTATTCATCAATACAATATTGGTTCTTCACCAATATTATGAAATTTATATTTTTATACATTTTTAATCTTGTCCTTGAAGAATATAAACAAGCAAAAGCTAAAATTAATGAACACAATTTTTCTTGTATAATAACAATGAGTATCATATTAAATCTGAAAAAATTAAGTTAAGTATCATATTAAATCTTAACTTAATTTTTTAATTAAAATTTATTAATATTTCAAAAAAATAAATAAATCTAAATTTTGTTTGAGCAATATTCAAATTTTTTTAAAAAAATTATAATTTAAATGAATTTAGACACATAAAAAGAGCATCCAATTTGGATTGCGATGAGTACAAGAAAGTGGCCTACTAAAAAGCACAACCAAATCTTTGATCAGCTTTGTGATGTCATTTAATATACAACACCTTTCGATGAACAATACACAAATAACATGTTGACAATAAAGCTAACCTTCATATCTAAGAACCAGCCTCCATCGCTCCCTATTATACACCATTCAAAATCTCATACATCTCTATATTCTCAGCAATCAGCAAAGATCCTACAACCATCCATGCATTTTGTACTTAAGATCTAAAAATCTCAGATTGATAGAGCTGAAATCTTAGAACAAGTCCTACTTTGCACCTTCTAATGAATAACACATGGATTGATTTACAAACATGCCTAAAATTGAACTTTTTTCTTCTTATTTCTCTAAAAAAATAAACACCTATATATAATCATATTCAAGATATATATATATAAATATATATATTATATTCAATCCTTAAATCAAATATGTAGGAGTGAAAGAATACAATCAATGAATAAACATTGTTGATGAGGGTTATGAAATAAGTCTTCTACTTTATACAAGAGATATAAGGCAATTCATGCAATATTAGCTGTTGCAATAGAAACAAGATGAAGTTGAAGTAATGCATCTACTTAAAGTAATTGGTTCTTTTTTAGATGAAATATATTGTAATTTGAAAACATCAAAAATCACAATTTCTTAACTCCAAAACCATGGATTCAAACAAAAAAAACCCAAAAAAATATTAAAAAAAAAAAAAAAAAAAAAAAAAAAAAATCTTCTTAAGATTTTTATCTCATGAGGATAACTAATTCACAAGATTCATTTCATATAAGATTTTGAAGTCTAGACCCTTTATCTATACAAGTTAAAAATATTGTAAACTATACTATTTTATTTTATAAATGCAATTAAGTAAAAGGCAATGATGTTGAGAACAAACTGTGAGACCTGTAGTTCTAAACTAAGATCCGACATATGATTGATGTTTTTCTTCATAGCATGCAATACAGGGCTCAATGCATGGGAGTAATAACGTCTTTTAGATGATACTACTGCTTCATTGGTAACATCACCCCTAGGTTCCACTACATTCAAAGATTTTGGATTTTTTTAAGCTCCTTTTGGCCTATGATCCAATTAATAGTAATCCTATGTATATTATTAAACTTCAAAAAAAAAAAAAAATCAATTCAATTCAAAATCTCATTCAAAATCCTCCAAAAAACATGCAAGCTTTGATGTATCAAATACTAAAACTCAGGAAAACACTAAGTAGATTTTTGTAGAAATTTATATTGATATTATTAACCAAAATGCATTGCAATGCTTGTTAGCCAATAGAAAATGGCTCACATAACCATTCTTAAAGTTGATTTTTTTAAACAAAATAATTTTAAAAAATATTTATATATAATAAAATTAAATTTCACAACAAAGGCCTTTTCTTATATAAAATCATAGATCCACAAAGAAAGGCACTGCATTACAAATATGGAAAAAAAATTGCTGCAATTTGCAAAAATTTAAGGACTTTCTTACTAGTCAATAAGCTTAAAATTACTTCAACAAAAAACACCTTGTGCAAAAAAAATGCTCACAAAAACATGCATGATTAAGATTGAAAGAGAAATGCTTGCAACAATAATTTCAGCACCAAATACTACAAGCAAGCAAATATGGTAGAGTAGCAATGCAGAGAGAAGAAGGTGGCAAGAAAGCGATCAAAATTTGATTGAGTGATCATATAACCAATTTGATTGAGTGACTCTAATGAAGCTATTTTCGAAAGATATGTTTGTAATCTAAAGAATATTTTTCAAATTCAAATACAATATAATAAAAATATAAAGAAATAAAATATACAAAAGAGCTTTCAGCTACAAAGTAGGATAGATAAACTTGTGCCATTGTCACAAATAATATGCAAAAAAAAAGTAGTTAATTTTATTAAATCCATGCTATTGGCCATGTTTTTATATTTTTTTTAAAATAAAATAGGCTAATTTTTCTATGTATTATGTATTTTTTGATATTTAAATAATAAAATAATTGTACTTATTCAAGAAAAATTCCAACTCATCCATCATAATCAATCAAAAATTGCATAATAAATTTAAAATAGAATTATAATCCTAATATAGTTGGTGAATGGAATTGGAATTTTCTATCAAAAGAAAATGCACTAAACATGTGATAGGAACTTGACATGTAGATTACAAACTACAAACACTTAATTTTATATTATATATGATTTACAAAAATTATATGTGGTGTAGATAAGTAGTTTCTAGAATTATTTCTGCATAAGTGGTTTTCTCTGATCCCACCCAAATGCACATATCTAACAAATTTTAGCTTCTATGATTCTTTGTTCTCAATATGATCAAAATTTGATTGAGTGATCATATAACCAATGAGAACAATTTTTAGTCCTTTATTGCTATTAATTCAGGCCTAATTCTTATCAAGTTATGTAAGACTAATTAAAAAAAATTAAAAAATGATTGATCTTTGAATTGAGTTATCAGAGATGTAGCTTGCTTGAATCTCTTTCTCTCTCTCCTAAAAATAAAACAAAAATAAAACAAATATCTCTAATACACAATCTATACCAAAGTCATTCATCTATCTAAAAACAATACAAACAATAATCCAAACTAATCACTCATAATTTCATGGTCTCTTTGTCAATCTCTGGGATCTCATATTGTTGTTACCATCAATGAGTTCATATGGAAGATGTCTTGATTTCCAAATGCACACTCTCATTCTCCACTCTTTATTGATCTCGTCATTACTATTTCCAATTTCCAATGACATGTCTTCTCTCTAGACATTATTTTATTCCACCAACATCACTTCCCCAATTTCCTTTACATTCTTCACAAATGGACTTACAAAGTTCTTTGCAAAAACACTATACTACAAATCATCTCATTTAAAGTCATGGTGGGCTTCACCACACTTGTTTACAGTCCAAAATGTGTACTTCCAAAATACAATAACATTAGAAGTGTCTCACCATCCAAAATGCTTGATGAGGTTAGCATCTAGGAGATGACCAAAGCGCAGCATCTGTGCACATATGTGAAGAGTGAATCATGGCAATAGGCTATTAAGTCAATAATATCCTTTTAGGTGGGTGTGCATCATGAGGTCAAGGACCATAGCATTTTGCTTATGACCCACTCCAGAGCCTCCCTAACTCTGATAGATGTATCTAATTTTTGTCAAATTGATGGATAAATATCCTCAGCATGCTAAGCTCACTTCACATGTGAAATTTTTATACAGATGTGCCTGAAACATGGTTCCTATTGCAGACCTAGATAAATTTTAAAATGAATGGCAATAAATTTGAAAAAATGGTCCCGATGTTGGCTATGAGTGAAAAAATTTAGTGAAAACCATGCCATGTCCTTTAGCTTTCCCAAAAGTATTGTCCATCCATGAGTTAGAAAAAGATGCCGGAACTCAACTCTGAAGCTTTCTTTACATTGTTCTTTGACGCATTTGTCAACAACGGCAAAGAGAGTAATGTCTCACGGACATCTTGCAGCAATGCTTTCATTTCTTTGGCAAAAGATACGTTCACTTCCAGGCAAATCCAATTCTCCTCAACAACTCATCTCTCCGCCCATTGCCTCCCACGGCTATGCTTAAATCCCCGCAATCATCCAATTGCAAAGATACAAGGTGCAAAGTGAGTAGTAAAACAAATATGCGTCCATTTTGCCCCACCATCAGCCTGTGCACTGAGCCGTGCTTCACAGTCAGAGATTGGGATTAGAAGTGAACCTAGCAAAATCCAATGCCCATCGCCCCTCCTACCTAGCGCCTCCCTCACAGCTCGCACCCTCCGCCCAAGAAGGAGGTTGCGATTTTGCGATTTTGCATTCCTCTCCGAACTTCACCTTCTATAGGCAAGTCTCCTCTTGAGCAAAAAAGAAATGGATGTCGCATGTAGCAGCGGGTAGATTCCTATCTGCAACACATTGTTGATCTGGAACCATGGTTCTGTTAAGGGCCTGTGAACTCTCTGGAACCATGGTTCTGTTAAGGGCCTGTGAACTCTCTGGAACCATGGTTTCGTTAAGGGTCTGTGAACTCCAACTCCAGACAACGTTAACTTTTTTGATGAAAACCAAGAGGGGTGCATGCGGTCTTGCAGTCAAAGATCATCGATACATTCATTGTCCAGTCCCTAAAATTCAAAAATCATACAACCATACAAAAATGCACCAAAACAGTTGTTTCTCGCCGTATCAATTATCAATAGATGCTAGTTTCGGCATTCGGCTCGTGTGCTTCGTGATCTAGAAGCTGATTCTCGTCTCGTGTAGGGGTGGTTCCTCCATTGGGGTGATTCACTGCTATAATTGCTATTATCATGCCACACGGAGAATTCTATATATCTAGCCCCACGACCCATGCGCGCGACTTTCTCGCAATTCTAGTATGAACTTCGATTGATAATTATACATAGTAGCACCAGCATAAGCAGCGCTGTCGATGGAGCAACACTTTCTATATTTACACCCACACCAAATCTCGCAAGTATTCTCGGAATCTGTAACTGGTTTGCGACCAGCCCCGCTCCTGGTATATTAGATCATCTGCCAGATGTGACCGCTGTGGAGTCCGAGGAGTTCACCTGGTCCCGGAGATCGTGAGTTCGTTGCGGTGGAATTCATGAGTCCGAGACACACTAGATCGTCTGTTCTGTGGGTTGAGAGTCAAACAATCGAGACCAAGGGGCTGATTATATTGAAAGTTACAGATTGTTGTCTGGTCTGTCAGGAAGAATCAGGTTGGAGCGACGCAGACGGGTCGGATTAAGTGTTTGCTTTTCCAGATCGGGGAAGAGACGGCGGAGACAGTAGAAGTGGAACGATGTTTAGGTACCGCGACTGTAGTCTTTGTGGATTGGTTGTAGCGATTGTAATAATCGTAGAGTGCTTCCTTTTAATGGTCGTCGCCGTCGCTCAGGACGGTTCTTGGCAGACCCTCAAAGATGATGTCGGTATTTCGTCCATGCACACTGCTGTGACTAGATTCGACACGGCGATCTTGCTTGACCGAACGAATGTTGGGCTGTCTACCCTGTTGCTGCCGAATGGGCGATGTCGAGTGCAACCTTTGGAGAGGATGTCCAATCCTGACTGCTATGCTCATTCTGTTATGTACGACCCAAACGCGAACACCGTACGTGCTCTGTATGTTTTCACCGATACGTGGTGCTCATCGGGACAGTTCTTTGCAGACGGTTCTCTAGTGCAAACAGGAGGCGATTTTGAGGGAGCCAAGAAAATACGAAGACTCGTTCCCTGCCAAGCTGACGAGACGTGCGACTGGGTGGAAAGCACCACTGAAGAACTGGCAGTCGCACGTTGGTATGCTACCAGCCATCTGTTACCGGACGGCAAGTCCATGATCATTATGGGTGGTCGTAACAATCCTACCTATGAATTCGTCCCGAAGAGGTTCCCAGGGGAGGGAGTGTATCCTCTGGAACTTCTCAAAACTCCAGGGTATGACAACTTGTATCCATTCGTGAACCTGCTTCCTGATGGAAACTTGTTTATTTTCGCCACCAAAGACTCGATTCTTCTCAATCCTTACACTGGTGAGGTGCTCCGACAGTACCCCACCCTTCCCGGGAACTCCCGCAACTATCCAGCAGCTGGCTCCTCGGTGCTGCTCCCACTGTCTTACGAAAATGGCTTCCAAACCGCCGAGGTGCTTATCTGCGGAGGCGCCACGCAAGCGTCGAATGCGACTGCTCCGGCTTCGAAGAGCTGCGGAAGGATGGAGGTCACGTCTGCCACGCCGAGCTGGCTAATGGAGGATCAACCCGTCGCACGTACGATGGGTGACATGATCATTCTGCCTAACGGCGATGTATTGATCATCAATGGAGCTAAGATTGGCGCTCAAGGCTGGGGAAAGGCAAGCAACCCTGTGTTTCAACCTTGCCAATACGCAAGGAACGACGCATTAAATAGATTCCGGTTGCTCGCCGCCACTACTGTTCCAAGAATGTACCATTCAACTGCGAACTTGCTGTCTGATGGCCGCATTCTACTTGCGGGCAGCAACACCCACCAGTATTACACGTTCAAGGACACCCCTTTTCCAACCGAACTGCGAGTTGAGGCCTTCTCACCACCATATTTAAACGTCAAGTGAGCTCATTCTCACACCCTTCCACTTGTTTTTGCCAATGTAACCCCTAGTAAACTGTGGTGGACGATTACAGAATCATTATAGCAATTATTATAAGGGGATAATTTAAATTCGAAATTGATTATAGTAAATGGTTTTTATGCAGCTTTGACGACCAGAGACCGGAGATCATTGTGTGGCCTACAAAAATGAAATACGGACGCAGATACCTCCTCTCATTCTCCGTCGCCACCGGTGCGCTAGGTAACTTGCCATTAGGCGCAGGTCAAGAGCAGCGATTTCAAGGGCAGAGTAGTGTCCCAGTGGAGGTTAACCTGAACAGTGCACCCTTTGTTACCCATTCGTACGCCCATGGACAACGGCAGCTCAAACTCGAGACTCTCCTTGTTAAAAAGTGGGGAAAACGGAAGCAGCAGAACCTCCAGACTTTGCTCGTGACAGCACCTCCGTCAATGACAGTTGCTCCTCCGCAGTACTATATGCTCTTCGTCGTGAACGGTGGGATTCCAGGGAAGGCCGTGTGGGTACAAGTCTACCGCTAACCACTTCATTATTTACTTGTGGTTAAATGTCATGCGGTTCTCTGATATCTAAAATTTATCGTTGGAGCTTTCATTTTAGGTTTTCCACAAAATCAGTAGTCACAGGTTAAGCGTGCACTGGTTTCTGGTTTACCTGGGGATATTCATTGGATTGATAGCAAAATCGGATTACGCATAACAAAGAAGTTTGTCCTCCCACATTGTTGAGGATAGCTTATTACAGTGGGGCAGTGTTTTTTAACTTCTGCATATGCATATTGCTCAACCAGTTGACACTGAAATAAAGCCAATTTTTTTACCTTTGAGTGCGCATAAATTCGTTACAAGAAAATTTCCGTAGGAGAGCATTCAAAGGAAATGTTTCATCAAACTATTATAAAAATTTAATCACAATGATTTTGCACCATTTACGATTGCGAAACAGCTCTCTCTCAATTTCACAGAAGCCAAAACGATACTATTTCACAGTAGCGGAAGTTAATACTTTGTGACCGAGTCTAAATAACTGAACTAAACTCTGCCAGACCAAAAACTATTCAATGTATGCGCAGTGAGTTGGAACTTTCTCATGATACCTCCCAATCCCTCAAAGTAGTGCTCAAAGCCCCTGACATACATTGTGGCAATGTGAGAGGGGATAAGAGCAGAATACTATTTTTCAATTTTTTTAAAGATTAATCACTAATCTAATGCAAATCGCCTATAACCAGCCCACTTTGCAGGGATTAAGCATGTCCTCGTCAACGCATCTATCTTCAGCTCTGGCGCTAAATGCAAAGAATATAATCCCTGCTTGCTCTTGCGAGTATTTCATCAGCATGTAGTGAAAACCCTGGCAGTTAATAAAAATAAGCCTTCTTGCGAACCACTGAGGATGACGTGGCAAAAGCGGGTGCTTGTCAAATTCGAGCCTGCATTGAATTTACTGGAACCAGGAGATATTGAATACCAAATGGCAAAAAGGATAGCCCCAGTCCAGGCGGTGATTCTATCGATGGTCTAGTTGATGAAGCAACTATAATTTACAACATCCCGTTTCTCCGATCCCCACTTCATCCAGTGTACTAATCGTTTCAAAACTTCCATAACTTCCAAACTCACAAAACCCGCGTATTATTACATCAGTCTCAGTTATATTTCAGTCGAATCAAACAACATATTGCAGGATAACAAGGCAACCAGAGTGATGCATTGATATGCACATCTTGCAGGCATCTTCATCTGTACGGTCGTCTCCAATGTACATAGGAAAAACGTCGCTTGAATCAGCCAAACCTTCGGGAAACAAATTTTACGTTTGATTAATTTCTTTGTCTACAATAAAGATCCAAGATTTCATCACCGTCGACAACCATGGCTATGCAATCTGAGTTATCATTGAAGTACAATGTTACTGAAAGTGTATATTAAGCACCAACAGAATTCAAAATATAATTCACAGCTTTGCCTTTGTCCCATGCAATGACAGGGCGAACTTCCAATACCTGAACGAAACTTGCCAAACAACAGATGTTCGGCGTTCCTTTTTCAAAACAATCTGTGTCAACAGCTGAAAACTAGAGAAGACCCCACAGGAATTCGATCTCTTGTTTGAACATGGCTATAAAATGCATAAAAGATATTCCGCATACCTTTGGGCCGTACGTGAGCATCAAAGTTGAAACTCTGTTCTATTGACTTGGGGTTTATATATCCCATTTGGTTTACCTCCTGCCAATTTTCTACAATTAGGTTTTAATAGGCTTGGTTTACCACAATAGTTTGCCACAATAAGAAGTTAGATTAATGGAAATGTAGCATGTGACACAAGAGTTAGAGTTATTTGATACTAGTATCAAATAAATCCTCTCATTCAAATTTCTTAAAAAATGAACCATTACATGTATATATGGTTATTATCAAAGATCAATTAGTGGATTCACAAACATGGTACCTTGATTCGGGTGCCACACAGCACATGACACCCACAAAAGATTGTTTTATAAGCTACAAAAATTTACATCCTCCTTTAAAAGTTTAATCTTGTGATGATGAGACCCATGAAGCCATGGATTTAGGCACAGTTCAAATATACCTTAGCAACGGACACAATACCACAGTGTCTGATGTATTACATGTACTGGCGTTAGAAAAAAGTTCAATTTCAGTATGTAAAGCAACTTTACAATGCCAAAGTATTGAATTCTTTCACAATTACAGTATCATAAAGCATAAAAATATTAATGGTAAACCAAAAGAAATAAGATTTAATCAAGTCAGTAACTTGTATCCACTTGCTCACAAACCAGTTATACAAAATTCTACCTCAATGGCCATCACAAAAATATCACCTTATGATGCTATGAAATGACATCATAGACTTAGGCATTTGAATAGATTTTCACTTCAAGAAATGATAAAAACACAATATGGTTAATGGTCTTCCTAATAACTTTTCTACATAATTTTTTTGTAAAGAATGTATTTCAAGGAAACAATATAAATTGTCTTTTTCCGAGAGCACCAATTTTTGTACTTAAAGTATGTTAGAATTGGTTCATTCAAACATTTGTGGATCCATGCAAACCCCATCTATCAGTGGTTATTATTACTTTGCTACATTCATTGATGATTATTCTGGATTTACAACATTTTATTTTCTCAACAAGAAGTCTAAACATGTTTCTAAATTTAAACTTTATAAAGCATTAGTAGAAAATAAAACATATAATAAAATAAAAACTTTATGATGCAATAATGGAGGGGAATACAAGTTTGATGCTTTTATGGATTTTTGTGGAGAACATAGTTTGTCAATTCACAAACCCCTATACCCTAGAGAAAAATATTATGTCTGAAAGGAAAAACTATACTCTTTTTGAGTCGGCTAAATTTATGCTTCAAACAGCAAAGCTTCCCAATTTCCTTTAGGCAAATGCTATTGCTGCTGCTTACCATATTCAGAATTATTCATTTACATCTAGTCTTGGAAACAAAACCCCTTTAAGTATGTGGTGTAGTAAAATACCCAACCTTAGTTATTTAAATTTTTTTAGATCACCTACTTATGCCCATATAGCAGAGGAAATTTGTGAAAAATTAGATGCCAAAAGCCATAAAGACATATTTATGGGTTATGGTGAACAAGAGGGCATTAAAGGGTGTATATTGAATGATCGCATTAAAAGAAAATATTTTACCAGTTGACATATTAGTTTTAATGAAGAGAAAATACTTCCACTCACTAAGCCTGTAACAAATTATAGAGAGTCATCAAATAAAAATGAAAAATCCAACACATTTGTACCATATGAAGGTTCTAAACAGAGTACTCATACAGACATAAATATTAATATTAATATAGCAAATCTTCATTCAATGCATTAGATTTCTATTAAAAGAATCATGAGATATATTTAAAAAATCTTAGATTTTAAAATAAATTATAAATATGAAATTGGATTTCAAAAATATCCATACCAAGTTAAAGGCTAGTCTGACTTAGATTGTGCTATTGATGAAGATTCAAGAAAGTCAATATTAGATAAATATATATATATATATATATATATTGAAAAATAGCCTTATCATTGGCCATGTCATTGTCAACCAACCATTGCTTTATCATCAACAAAAGTTGAATATATTGCATGTACTTCAACAGCAAAAGAGGCAATTTAGATTAAACAATCAATGAAGAAAATTGGATTTATTCAAATGGAACCTTTCTATATGTATATTGCGACAACCAATCATGAATTGCTTTGACAAAAAATCCTAGTCATCATGACCAATCTAAATACATAGACATAAGATATCATTACCTTTGTGAAAGAATTAAATTGGCTGACATTCAATTATTATTTTGTCCAAGAAAAGAAATGGTTACAAACATATTAATTAAGTCTTTATCCAAGTCCAAATATTTTAAGTGTTTATTTTTAATGAATACTAAATAAATTTATTTTTTTAATTTAGATCTAAATTAAGAAATAAATATTAATTAATAATCTAAATTAATAATTAAGAGATGTGATGCTTCATCTCATCACATGATGCAAGCATTATATTTTTATATGTAATTCTTGCATCTCAATTAATATGCATCATGAATATATTTTATTAGCATTGATGACATGAGTATATAATAGTATCAATGACATGAATCTCAAAGATAGAGAACCTCAATACACTCTTGTGTCACTCAAAAAGACTAAAAAATCACTTGAAGGTGGTATAATATTAAACTAAAAAGGATATTGCCAAAGACAAAAAGATTAGAAAGTCTTGAAACAAGACTAAGGACTAGAAAGGCATTGACAAGAGTGAAGAAGGCTTCACTCTTACCTCCATGTATATTCTTAACTAGGAGCTATGTGGTAGTGTCCTATAAGACCTCTAAAATGTGTTGACTTTGCAAGATACGTATCTTAATTTGTAAGGCAAGTTTTTTATATGTGTATCATATAGTTAGCTTGTTCTACAAGCTACCAACACGTGGTTAACTTGTTGACCAAGTTTTTAACCTATCAATTAACTACATACATATGTTAAATTAAAGCAACATTTATAAAGCTTCTAGGAAGCTTCTCTAGAAAATATTATGAAATAAATTTACTTTTACCTATTTCTATTTAATCACATAGATAAATATTAGAATAAATATATATGTCCTTGATAAATAGCTAAGTTAAACATAGTGAAGTACCTCCTCTTTGACATTAGGAAAGTGAACAGTTCCACAATATTTGTTATTTTTGACACTTACTCCTTTTGTGCTTTTGGTGGTTTCAACCAAGCTTGTGCAAACTTGCATATGTTAATAAGCATCTCAAACAAACTAAATTTTACAAATCAAGACATTATAATCTAAACAGTACCAGTTTCAAATAAATACTTCAATAAAAATCCGCAATATTCAACAACATAATTATCTCAATAAAATTACATGCCTTGTCCATCAATGGAAGAAATTTGCTGACAACCTAGAAGGATTACCTTGTACATTGATTGATTATCTGATGAGGAGCAGAGAATATGGCTAATTGTGCAAGGAAATTTTATGTTAGGTATAGAGATATATATATATATATATATAAACATACATACACACACACTCATACACATGTTCGATAGGCCCAACAAGTGCACTGGAATTCTGAAGGATTGCCAAAAAGCTTACTTTCTTGTCTTGAGGTGGAGACCAGTCGACCTTGAAACCACTTCAACTCTTTGCTGGACCCATTATCCATTCCATGACTTCTCGCATGATATAACTCAGATAATTTTACAAATTTGCACACCTGTGTCAAAAATAGCAA